TATCCACAGGTACTTTCATTGGAATGCTCCTTGTTATATCTGGTGTGACGATTTGCGTCATGGATAAGACGCTATAAATTATGCCGCACTCAAACAATACAATACCCACCCATAGAATCCTTTGGTAAAACTCATTTATTGCCATCATAAAGAACAAAAAAAGAGTGGAAACATTGTGAGATCCATCCTCCTTGAAGATTGCTTCATAACATTAAGTGAAAATGTTCATTATTATTTGTAAAAAAAAAAAAACATTTACTGTTTCTGGATTGTATGCTACAGTTTTCATCTTCTTTATTTACGCAAAAGAAATGTCACTAGTGAATCAATTTTGAGCAATATAAGTCCTTTTACTTCATCTCCAATTGTCCAATCCATTTGAATATTAACTTATTTCTCCAAAGACGGTTTTAGGGATCACCTGTCATGAGAATCAATAGCAATATGTAAGAACATTAAAACTGCAATCTACAGAGCCGCACTCTTTTATTCAAACTTCATTAGTAAGATTTGATGAGATCTTTGTGGATTACGTTCTTGATGATTCATTGTACAATATAATGCAATACATTTTATTAATTCTCCCAAATGGGTTTTTCAGAATTAATTTACATTGAGTAAAAAGTAAATAGAATAAATTCAAAGTGTGTAATTACATTCATACAAAAACAAGTCACATTGTACATGTTGTAAAATAACATATGGCGCAATTTTGTATCATGGCAAGCGTTAGATATTGTAACACTTAGTGCTTGATAGTGCATGTTGTGTCGTTGCCTTTTCTTTTGGTCTGTTTTTGTTTCTATAGTACAACCTCAAGCTGTAATCATAATTATCTATTTTTCTCCTTTTTTTTCTTTGCCCCTTGTCGATACTGTATTTGTTAGTAGTGCACTGTAAGTCGCGTGGATATTGTAATTTAAATCAGTGGTGTGAATAATTAGAGCAATGTAGTGTAAGTAAAGTACAGTGCTGTAAGTATAGTTTAAAGATTGTACTGTTCGTAATTGTCTTGTAAGTATTGTTTCTCTTGTCTTATTGCTAAATATACGAAATAACTGTTCCTTCCATAGCTTGTCAACCCCGTACAATATTTGATAATCTTAGAACTCCTTGGAAAGATAACCGGTCGTTTAGTCGATTAGGCCCTAACCGTTTAGCCCCAACCAACAGTCGAAAACACTGTCTATTTCTCGTTATTTCTCGTTCTTAAGCGTGAATGCGGACTTCTAGTTGGGGGCTAACCGGCTAGGGGCTGACGCAAAGCGCGGGAAAACGCGTGCGAATGAGTCACGATTGGTTTTGGTTTTACTTCTGATTGGATGAAAAAATGGCGCGAGTTTTTTAAGCCAATTGTGTAGCGTAGTTGACACAAAATCATATTAATTTTCGACACTCAAATGAAAACCGCTCTAAATGAATGAGTGATATATGTATATTTATTTTTTTTCTCTCGGTAATTGTAAAGCAGCGAGTATTAATTTTAAGGGAGTTTAAAACTGACCTGAGTCGACGCGAGTGTTGCTCGTGTACAAGACAGGCTCGGAGCAGACTTTTTTACATCCATGAAAGCAACACATCTGAGTGTTGAGGCATTCATCATCGGATTTACACTCATCCTTCACTGCCGTAGAACAAGAGTCTGACGGTGGCATAGGACGGCACTGAAGGGGTCTGCCTGATGAGAGAGAAAAACACAAGCGAAGAAAATTAATCCGATCAACGTCTGGCGCGTAACGACGAGTAGTTGAACGGCTGATGTTGTGGGTAGATCAGACCACTAATAGGGTTTCAAACAAACCTCTGGGACCTTACCACAAGAATATGCCACTGAANGGTGGCATAGGACGGCACTGAAGGGGTCTGCCTGAAGAGAGACAAAAACACAAGCGAAGAAAATTAATCCGATCAACATCTGGCGCGTAACGACGAGTAGTTGAACGGCTGATGTTGTGGGTAGATCAGACCACTAATGGGGTTTCAAACAAACCTCTGGGACCTTACCACAAGAATATGCCACTGAAAGATACTGGTTAGCTCCAGGGCCGCAGAGATCGCTCACGGAAGAATCGACGGCGACGTTACATGCTTTCTTCCATCCACAGCGTTTGTCGATCGTTTTTGTCACGTCCTCCTCACACCGGAAGCCTAGGGGATCTTTGCTACCCTCTCCTTCAAAGATCTGCTTGAAGGGAAGCGGCTTGCCCGGCTTGTAAGGGCAAACTTCTGAATCTCGACCGTACGATGCTTGGAATATTATGATGGTGTTAAGAGGATCTTTGCGGCAAGACATGGTAAGTGATTCTCCTTGACAAGCTTTGGTCTTGAGGACGCGCCCAAGGCTTTCAACTTTTACGGCTGAAAATAGATTTCAGTGAATTTTAGAAGGCTGATGCATTAATTGTGTCAAGGTGTAATCAGGGTTGCCAAAGGTCAGGAAATTTTCAGGGAAAAAAAAAATTCTTCAAGACCAGGGAAAAGACGGAATTTTATTTTGAGTCGGAAAATTTGACATTTTGAAGAAAAGTCACAGAAAATTGAAATAATTTAACACTACTGATTTAATACGATTTAAGATGAAAGAAACATTTGGGTTCACTGTGATCTCAACGATATTTCTAGTTTTCTCAATGAAGGAGGAAAACTTGTTGAAAACTTATCAGTCCTAATGAACGAGTAGAAAGGATGGCTGTAAGTTGGGGTCAAAAGCCGCTACTAGATCTGACATTTTGTATTTATTTGGTCAGGAAAATCTTATTTCTATCAGGAAAAAGTTAGGGAATTTTGAAAAGTGATGCCTGTGGCAGCCATAAGAAGGCAATTGAACACGATGCAGCATCTGATGATGTCAAGGTGTAATTGGTTCTCGGCTTTTTCAAAACCTTTAAACTTTTCCTGCTGAAATTTCTTTTGAGGTGCTCACGTCACTTCCTTGCGTGCCTTATAACAGAGCAAAAAACCTTAAAGGCTTTATTCTTTGTTGAAGATCTGACGCCAAATCCTATGCGAACGCTAGAAACTATCGTGTCTTCTTTGTTATCGACACGTCTTGTTTATCGCAAAACCCAAAGAGCCGGTATTTTGTTTCCATTGTGGGAATTACAATTTCTTCAAACTTCTCGAAAGTACAGTATTTGCCAGTTACTAAAATATATATTGGGCAAACGTTGATTTGGCAGATTTTTGTTTTCTTTGATGCTACGGCGTAATGTTTACAAAACTCCTGGGGGACCTTATATGGGCAATATAGGTAGGTGTGACCCTAAAGGGTATGGCTTTTAAGCCGTTTTTGTCAGAAATAGGGTATCGATTTAGGCCATTTTGGTCTCAAAAAGGGTATGGCTTTGTGAAATGGGTAAGGGTTTTGTGAAGCGGGCCGCACACCCCAACTCAATTTTTCTGGAAGTACCCCCTCCCGGAAAAAACTGTACTGCAATGACACATCCCTGAAGCGGCCTACCTCGACAGGATTTACCATCGCTATCTAGAAAATATCCCAGATGACAGCTGCAGGTAAAGGAGCCGTTAGTGTTGGAACACACGTGATCACATCGACCACTGACTGCAGCACATTCGTCATAATCTGTAGAATATAAACGATTAATTGCATGGAAAGCAGATACCAAGAATCTGTGGGTATTTTAAAGTGATATCGAGGAAATAGTATCATCTCAAAACAATGTTAAAACTGACAAGAAAAAAAGAAAACCCTCTAAAATTTCGCATTTTTTAAAAACTCATCTCAGATGTCGGTCTTGCGCGGGTGGAACAAAGCACGCAACAGGAGGATATGCTTATTTTCAAACAGTAATAGTAGTAATAATGACAATAACTACGATCACGATAACGACAACGACAACGTCAACGTCAACGTCAATGATAACGAGAAGGATAGCGACAACGACAACGACAGCGATAACGATAACGATAATGATAACGATAACGATAACGATAATGATAACGATAACGACAGCGATAACGATAAAGATAACGATAACGATAATGATAATAATAACGACACGATAACGATAATAATAATAATAAAATGGAGTGAAAGTGTTTTTTGTGAAATTCACAAACAGTCTGTTCATAGGCCTTCATCAGTGTAAACAAATGTCACAAAATGACACTTACCTCCATTGTTTTTGTTTTTTAAACTTTTTTAAATGAAATTTAAGTAATCATTTCAGGTGAAAGGCATCAACCAAGGAGAAAGCTTTAACCCTTACTGTTACCATAGCCCGCGATTCGAGGCCACGGCGATAGAAAGAATGCTTGTCGCAGACTAAGTTTATGTTGTCATCGCATTAAATACTGACCTTCGCAAGTTTTTAGAGTGTCGTTGAACTTGTACCCAGGCTCACACTGACAGATGTAACTTCCAGGAGTGTTGACGCAAGCAACTTCTCCACAATTCGGCGGTGCGATGCTAGAGCATTCGTCGATGTCTGATAAAAGTGATAACGCTCTTGAGCATGAGAAATTAACAAGAACTCAATATCTCTCAGTTGACTACGGTCTGTGAACGAAGGAAAAGCGCGGAAGGCGACGCTCAGCTGACCGCCCCCTGTTATTTCTGAGTTACATTGAGCCTCTGTTTTAAGACGACTCCTCGTACAAAACTTTTGATAGGAAAATATGTCTGATTTGCATGAAAATGAAGCTGTAGGGGTAATACATTTTCATATGAACTGAATGGTTTCGCACGAAAAAACTAGTTTTGACACGGAGGCAAATGGTAACCAAACAGAAAAAAATGTAACGTAATGTTTATATCCACATATTTTATCAAATTGCAATTTGGTTTATTGTTGCTCTCTTACTTTAGTCTTGCACATTTCGTCTCAGAGGAGCACCGTATGTATTGTATCATCATCATCATTTCATTTTATTTGCCACAATAAAAAAAGGAGTATGATACAATTGCAACAATTAGACCTTCAAAGAACCACCAGGCCTATGGTTGACGCCAGCTTAACTAGTACTGTTAATATAGTAACTTCTCTCATTGTGTGCACGGCATGACCAATTCAGCATTATTCCATTGAAAAATTGACCATCTTTTTCGTAAAGCTGGGAAAGCTTGTTGAAGCAGCGATAGATATTTGCAGAGAATTTCAAATTTTAGGATCCTGATAGAGTATCGAAAATTGCTTAAGATTTATGCGACAGTGATGCGATCGATAACTACTGGCTGTTCGACTATTTGTTAGAAATTAGTTGTGAAACATAACGGGGCAACAACTGAATGTGAAGTATTGCTTTCCTTACCTTTGCATGTTTGTCCTCCTGATTGCCAAGAATTGCGATATCCCTTTGGACAAGAGCAGCGGAAGTAACCTACATAGTTACGACAAACCCCTGTATCACACCTGTCAGGAGTTTCTTTGCACTCGTCAATGTCTTGGGGAAAAAAGAAAACGCGTTTAACGCTATACTCGGAATATGATGACTCTTGTGACTCCGTTTAGCTCGAGCATTTCTTTTCCATTCATATTATCTCTGTAGACTCTACAGATCTAGACTCGTGGCAGATCTGAAACTAGACTCACGGGTTTTATATAAGCTACGAAGATGACGTCATTTTAACGAAGGCCGTCTTAATCGATTTTGATCATTTCTCTTTTAAGACGCCTTTTTGGATGCAATTTGGCGCTTATATCAAGAACTAGCAAAGCTAAATCTGGCGAAATTCCCAAAACTCACCACAACCTCGTTCCCAGGGTCTCTCTCCTCTGCCTCTCTTGAACGACAATGAAGGCAGAGGAGAAGAGGAGAGAGAACCTGGGAACGAGGTTGCACCCACCCGTGAAGACGTCACTCATGTCTCTGCACTTCCTTTAAAAATAAGAATTAGCGAGCAAGCGCAAAAGAAATTTGACAATTCTTGTAAAAAAGGTTAGAGTGCTAGCCATGGCAAAGGCAGTCTGTTTTACAGGGTAATTTGGTGTTTCACTAACTGAAGACAAACTCTTCCAGCTGATGTTTTTCAATATTTTCGTAACCTGTCTTCTTAACGATGTTGCACTGACATGGCAAGGAGAATTCTGATGATGATCACTAGGGTTAATAACTGTTTACCTTGACAAGTGCCATTCTGCTTCTTGTATCCACCCCAACACTCGCATGTAGCACCTTTATTCGGTAAGTCATAACACGAAGACTTGGAGCGATAAGGACACTTTTGTCGTCCCACAAAGACGCAGCTGTTTTCGTCTGTAAAATAAAAGCCAAATAAACCACCAAAGGTCTTTTTCTTTCGCATTAGTTTCATAAACTATAGTCATGACTGAAACAACGAATGCCGTCCATTCTGGTAGAGTTCTTTGTTCTATGTTTTTGTTTGCTACTTTGGGGGTTGACCCTGCACAAAACCTGGCAAAATACAGAAGGTGGCTGTGAGT